GCGCTGTGTCAGTACGTGGGAGGCTGAGCAGGCAGAATGGCGTAAGCCCGGGAAGGGAGCTTGCAGGAGCCGAGATCGCCACTGCCACTCCAGGCCGGGCGACGAGCGAGACTCCGTCTCAAAAAAAAAAAAAAAAAAAAAAAAAAAAAGTTCAGATTGATTCCATCATTTCTCACCGGAAATAAAAATTCTGGTACCAGCATCTTGTTTTTTAGCATTACTGAAGAATCTGATAATTCAATTATTGACTACCGAACTCAGTGTCAAAAGACAAGGATAGAAAATGAACTAAAATGTATCCATATCATTAATAGTGGAAAATACTGTGGGCAAAATATTGGGAGACCTTCATTAGATTGGCATTTTTATCATTCATTCATTCAATTTATTTATTTATTTATTTATTTATTTATTTATTGAGATGGAGTTTTGCTCTTGTTGCCCAGGCTGGAGTGCAGTGGTGCTATCTCAGCTCACTGCAATGTCTGCCTCCTGGGTTCAAGCAATTGTCCTGCCTCGGCCTCCCGAGTAGCTATGATTACAGGTGTCCACAGCCTTTGGAAGGCTAAGGCGGGTGGATCACCTGAGGTCAGGAGTTCAAGACCAGCCTGGCCAACATGGCGAAACCCTGTCTCTACTAAAAATACAAAAATTAGCTAGGTTTGGTGGCAGGTGCCTGTTGTATGTACTACAGGCACATACAACCTTGCCCAGCTAATTTTTTGTATTTTTTGGGCAAAACACCCAACAGGTTTTTTAGGTTGCTTAGGTTGGTCTTGGACTCTTGGGCTCAAGTGATCCTCCCTCCTCAGCCTCCCAAAGTGCTGGGATTATAGGCATAAGTCTCCATGCCTGGCCTCCTTCCTTTTTAAGGATCAATAATATTCCACTGTATGTATATAACACATTTTGTTCATTCATCCATGGGTGGGCGTTTGGGTTACTTCCACCTTTTGGCTATCGTAAATAATGCTGCTATGAACCTGGGTGTATGAATATCTCTTTGAGACCCTGCTTTAATTCTTTTTGGCATATACCCAAAAGTGGAATTGCTGGATCGTATCGTAATTCTATTTTTGATTTTGAGGAAGCGCCATCCTAATGGGTGTGATATCTCATGTTGGTAAAGTATATCTTTTTTAAAAAAAAATTACTTAAAAAATATCCTTAATGAAACAAACTAGATTTGGCCAGGTTTAGCACATAGTAAATATGTGAACTGCTCCAGTATATTTCATGAGATTGAAGATGTGCATATAAATGTTGACATGTTTAAGGATTCAGCAAATTAGTAATATGACCATATTAATTTCAGTGGTCCTCTTAATTAAAGGGTAAATCAAGTATTATGTATTAGTTTGCTAAACCCAACACATTATTTTCGTTAGATTAGAAGCAGAGTGTCAGTGTAGTTGCAGCAGAGCAGAGGCATTGAGTAAATGTGTTGAATAAATAAATGAATGAATACCTTATGAAGGATTTGGAACCCAGGGATTCGGAATCATTTTCTGGACAGTAACTGGTTTTAGGGATGATAAAACTTTTCCCCAAATGTCTGTATACATACAAAACTTTGCACGTGAAAAGTTTACAGAATTTCACGTGAATAACAATTGTATTAATCAGCAGTTAAGTTTTATCCACCATATTAAACAAAAGCTCCCTCTTCCCAATAACTTTAAAAGAGGTATTTTCAGCTCTAATATTCTGAATGTAATGGGGGAAAAAAACCTCCCAGGAGGTGTTATTAATACAAGGATTCATAACCAAAATTATATCACCAGATATTGGAATGAGCAGTATTAAATCAGTCAAATTACCAATGAGAAAAGTCAATATCAAGTCATAGGTACTTAAATATTTATGTTAACATGGTTCTTTTTTTTTTTTTTTTTTTTTGAGATAGAGTCTTCCTCTGTTACCCGGGCTGGAGTGCAGTGGCGCAATCTCGGCTCACTGCAGCCTCTGCCTCCTGGGTTCAAGCAATTCCCTGCCTCAGCCTCCTGAGTAGCTAGGATTACAGGCATCCGCCATCACGCTCAGCTAATTTTTTTTGTATTTTTAGTAGAGACAGGATTTCATCATGTTGGCCAGGCTGGTCTTGAAATCCTGAACTCGTGATCCACCCGCTTCGGCCTCCCAAAGTGCTGGGATTACCGGCATGAGCTACCATGCCCAGCCTAACATGGTTCTTTTTATAGATTTCTCACTTAAAAATTTTCTCACTTCTTAATTACTTAGAGAACATCTAAATTCACTTACTAACTGGAGAAACTGAAAATGAAAGAAGAAATGGGTGAGAGTGGAATCCTCCCACCTCAGCCTGCTGGGACTATAGGCACAGGCCACCATGTATGGCTGGTCTGGAACTCCTGGGCTCAAGTGATCCTCCCACCATGGCCTCTCAGAGTGCTGGGATTACAGATAGAAGGCACCACACCAAGCCCTGAGTCAGATTTTAATAAATTCAGTTTCCATTAGAGTGGCTGGTCTGGAACTCCTGGGCTCAAGTGATCCTCCCACCATGGCCTCTCAGAGTGCTGGGATTACAGATAGAAGGCACCACACCAAGCCCTGAGTCAGATTTTAATAAATTCAGTTTCCATTAGAGTGGAAATTTTTCAAATTAATGAATTATTTATTTCTTTATTTATATTTTTTGAGACAGAGTCTTGCTCTGTCGCCCCGTCTGGAGTGCAGTGGCATGAACTTGGCTCACTGTAGCCTCCGCCTCCTGGGTTCAAGCAATTCTCCTGCCTCAGCCTCTTGAGTAGCTGGGATTATAGGCTTGCGCCACCACCCCCAGCTAATTTTTTTTTTTTTTTTTTTGTATTTTAGTAGAGACGGGGTTTCACCATGTTGGCCAGGCTGGTCTTGAACTCCTCACCTCAAGTGATCCGCCCACCTCAGCCTCCCAGAGTGCTGGGATTACAGGTGTGAGCCACAGTGCCTTGCCAGAGTAGAAATATTTAAGTAAACAAAATATTTCTAAATGTAAACTAATGGCCTACTTATTTTATTTATCAATTTCAGTTCAGGTACTAGGAGTTTAATATTTCATCTATATTTTAATTAAATAACCACAGATATTAGGCTTTCTCAAAGATAACATTTTGTCCTAATTTTAGTTTCTCAAATCTTATTAAGGTTATGATGGCCACCCAGCTTGTGAAGTAATAGATGATAACAATATAGTCAGGAAATACCATTTGGTAACCAAGGCTTCAGCAAAGTATTAAGATTTTTGTGATTGTGAGTGTTACAGGTAACACTGTTGGCCCCCAACATTGTCATTTTGTACACTTTGTTGATCAATGGCCTGAATTCATTAAAATTCACACTATATGCCTCAAAAAGAATATTGGATCCCAGCCTAGGTTGTTGAGTATATTCCTGGCCTTTATTAAAATGTAGGTTGATAGAAAGGTGGTAGGGATATTTAAATCTATCATGCTGCTAATTTACTTTCTTTGTAGCACAACAAGGATAGGGAATTAGGAAAACATTACTCACCCAATAGAGAAAAGGTAGATAGAAAATCCATTATTGACAAAACAGTTAATGCTTTAGTATGATTGAGAATAGGTAATCTAGTGCTAAAGTTGGTCAGAGAATTTCCTGCACAAAATGAAAGATCTATGTATGGGAATGCCAGAGAATTTGACTTCTCAGAAATATATAGACCAATAGCGGTTGCCTTTTTTCATTTTTACTTCTCTTCATTCTTAGATCTACGGAATCCAGAGGCAGCATTGTCTCCAACCTTCCGTAGTGACAGCCCAGTGCCTACTGCACCCACTTCTGGTGGCCCTAAGCCCAGCACAGCTTCAGCAGTTCCTGAATTAGCTACAGATCCTGAGTTAGAGAAGAAGTTGCTACACCACCTCTCTGATCTGGCCTTAACATTGCCCACTGATGCTGTGTCCATCTGTCTTGCCATCTCCACGGTAATGACCTGACAGAGTTAGGATTTACAACTTATTTTCAGTTCCTGGTCAGTGTCTTATTGCCCCTACCTCCCCTTCTTCTTTAGCCAGATGCTCCTGCCACTCAAGATGGGGTAGAAAGCCTCCTGCAGAAGTTTGCAGCTCAGGAGTTGATTGAGGTAAAGCGAGGTCTCCTACAAGACGATGCACATCCTACTCTTGTGACCTATGCTGACCATTCCAAGCTCTCTGCCATGATGGGTGCTGTGGCAGAAAAGAAGGGCCCTGGGGAGGTAGCAGGGACTGTCACAGGGCAGAAGCGGCGTGCAGAACAGGACTCAACTACAGTAGCTGCCTTTGCCAGTTCATTAGCCTCTGGTCTGAGCTCTTCAGCATCAGAACCAGCAAAGGAGCCAGCCAAGAAATCAAGGAAACATGCTGCCTCAGATGTTGATCTGGAGATAGAGAGCCTTCTGAACCAACAGTCCACCAAGGAACAACAGAGCAAGAAGGTAGGGGTCATGTGAAAATACTCTCACAATATGCTCTTAATTATAGCTTTGTTTGACAGGGATTTACCCCTAGGGCAAGGAACTGTTTTTAGAATTGAGGGTTTACAGTGGTTCTCAACCGGGGATGACTCCCTACTGCCCAACTCCCAGGGGATCTGGTAATGTCTGGAGACATTTTTATTGTCACACATGGGGGAGTGCTATTGGCATCTAGTGGGTAGAGGCCAGGGATGGTTGTTAAACATCCTACAGTGCATAGTAGGACAAACCCCCACAACAAACAGTTGTCTGTCCCAAAGTGTCAATAATGCCAGTGTTGACAAATTCTGATTTAGATAATCTGTCATTGAATCTGAAAGAATTGGATCAAGAGAAGAGGAATCCAAATATATAGAAATATAGGGAGATATTTCTCCCTATATTTCTGGAGAGGAATACTAGACCAGTTATAGAAATTGACTAAATAATGTGAATTGGTTCTGAGTATAAGTATTGGCCTGACATGAGTTCTTATCTGTTTGGTACTTCTAGTGCGTAAGTTTGAACAAGTTAATTAACTTCTCTTGAGCCTTAGTCTTTTCATCTGTAATGTGAAGATAATACCAGCATATCCTGCCTTATAGAATTGAATAGACTCTGAGCTAAAAAGTAAAGTTTTATACTTTTTAGTTTAGCACCCAGTAAATATGTTTTTTTTGTAGAAGGAATGCCTTCCTGGGGAGGGGACGTTAATATAATGCTTAGCAGTAGGAACCAGGCCTCCTCCATTTTAATTTCATCCCAAATGCATATTTGTGAGGAAGGACTGAACCCCTAACAAATCTCTTATCTGAAGGCTCCAATTTTCCAATATTAAGTTAGCTAATTTAGGGCTAGGCACAATGGCTCATTCCTGTAATCTCAACACTTTGGGAGGCCGAGGTGGGAGGATCACCTGAGGCAAGGAGTTCAAGACCAGCCTGGGCAAAATAGTGAGACCCTATCCCCACAAAAAGTAAAGTAATTAAAACATTAGCTGGCATGGTGTCTTGCACCTGTATTCCCAGCTACAATTGAAGGCTGAGCTGGGAGGATCACTTGAGCCTGGGAGTTCAGTGGGAGAAACAGTGAGTTATGATTACATCACTGCACTCTGGCCTGGGTGACAGCAAGATCCCATCTCTTAAAAAAAAAAAAAAAAAGTTAGCTGATTTATCTCTTGTAAGACATTAATGTCAAAAAGAATTTGCAGAGTTGGTCTGAGAGCCAGTTTGATCTACAAGACATTTTAAGTCCAAGGCTACTTCTGTCACAGGTCAGTCAGGAGATCCTAGAGCTATTAAATACTACAACAGCCAAGGAACAATCCATTGTTGAAAAATTTCGCTCTCGAGGTCGGGCCCAAGTGCAAGAATTCTGTGACTATGGAACCAAGGAGGAGTGCATGAAAGCCAGTGATGCTGATCGACCCTGTCGCAAGCTGCACTTCAGGTCTCTTGGAAGGGAATGAGGTGGGATGGGTTTGTCAGAAGCAGCCATTCCTTTTCAGCATATTCTTTCCAGTCATTGGGGTTCTGTCTGTAATCTTACTTAGTTTATGGTTTGTGTAAGTCCTCCAGACCCTGAAGGTGTACTTTCAGAAGTGCATTGTGTGGGAAGAATACAGGCTGTACTCCCAAATAACTTTTTTTTTTTTAAAGAAAAAGCTCCCTCCTTAGAATAACAAGGTATGTCTGTCTATCAGCCACAGTGAAAGTTAAAGTACTCTGAAAGCAGGATAATCTTAGGAGAAAAGGAACCTGAACTCTTAGGTCAGTGTTTTATTCTGTTCTAACCAACTAAGTCCCCTGCACTGCTTGCCTTCCAGTGGTAAAACAGGAAACCCAGTCTTTACTGAGAGATGAATTACAATTGTTCTGTAGTATGAATTATGGATTTCCATGCTACCTGCCTCCCTTAAAACTCTTGGAGAAAGCTCTAACAATAGAATTAGGGGAGGGTAATAAAATAGGAGACATTTTGAAATCATTTTGAATTTTAACTGTTGGATCTACGTCTGGAGCACAATCTTCATTCTCCCTTTTTATTTTCCCAGACGAATTATCAATAAACACACTGATGAGTCTTTAGGTGACTGCTCTTTCCTTAATACATGTTTCCACATGGATACCTGCAAGTATGTTCACTATGAAATTGATGCTTGCATGGATTCTGAGGCCCCTGGCAGCAAAGACCACACGCCAAGCCAGGAGCTTGCTCTTACACAGAGTGTCGGAGGTGATTCCAGTGCAGACCGACTCTTCCCACCTCAGGTACCTGTCTGCTCAGAAAACTCGTCTCAACTTACAGATTTTGAGTAGGGCAGCCATACACGTTAAGAAAGCAGAGCATAATTCAGCAATCTTGTTTTGCTTATTGGGAATGGAGGGGGATAGATAAGCTTGTAAGGGAATAGGAAAAATCAAATGGAAAAGAGGGACTCGGGCCATGAATCTGAGAGTTAAAGTAGGGAAGATGACCAAATACCACTTTATGCAGTGGATCTGTTGTGATATCCGCTACCTGGACGTCAGTATATTGGGCAAGTTTGCAGTTGTGATGGCTGACCCACCCTGGGATATTCACATGGAGCTGCCCTATGGGACCCTGACAGATGATGAGATGCGCAGGCTCAACATACCCGTACTACAGGATGATGGCTTTCTCTTCCTCTGGGTCACAGGCAGGTAATGCAATTCAGTTATGTAGGTATGGACAGATACAGTACAGAGTGAATACTGAGTGGGAGATAAAATCCTGGGTTTTCGTAGCCCTACTATTAAATGTATGACTGGTTTAGCCTTTTTTTCTTTTTTTCCGGGGGACAGTCTTACTCTGTTGCCCAGGCTGGAGTGCAGTGGTGTGATCTCAGCTCACTGCAACCTCGGCCTCCCGGGTTCAAGCAATTCTCCTGCCTCAGTCTCCTGAGTAGCTGGGATTACAGGCACGTGCCACCATGCCCAGCTAATTTTTTCTTTTTGTATTTTTAGTAGAAACTGGGTTTCACCGTGTTAGCCAGGATGGTGTCTATCTCCTGACCTTGTGATCCACTCACCTCGGGCTCCCAAAGTGCTGGGATTACAGGCGTGAGCCACCACACCCAGCCAGTCTTTTTTTCTAGTGAGTCCTAATGCCCATTTACAATGCAAATTATACCCTGAATATATATTTAACTTTACATTTGTTCTTTGAGAAAGGTAAGGTTGTTGAGAATACTGTTTTATCTTTTCATTCTTAGATCCACCATGCTGCTTTTGGTGTTGTGCATGTAAATGTTCACTGAATGTCTACTGAAAAGGTGTTTATGGTGTTTTTAACACATCATATATTTTGAAGGAAAAAAAATAAGGGCATACAAATAGTTGTTTAACTCATTTCTTCCTAGGGCCATGGAGTTGGGGAGAGAATGTCTAAACCTCTGGGGGTAAGTAGTGGTTGTGTTGCTTTCTTTGGAGGGTAATACTGTTATAGTGAGATACATGTTTTCTTCTCCCAGAGTATTCTGTGATTCCTTGCTTCTATAAATGGTACTACCCCTAAACTGTACGTTTGGCTAAAACTCCAGTTCTTTTTTATGCCCCACAGGTATGAACGGGTAGATGAAATTATTTGGGTGAAGACAAATCAACTGCAACGCATCATTCGGACAGGCCGTACAGGTCACTGGTTGAACCATGGGAAGGAACACTGCTTGGTGAGCAGCAGTGGGGCCCAATTCAATAGGTGGAGCACAAAAGAAGAATCATTTGATTTCTTACTGAGAAAAAGTTCAAAAGGTGGTTTCATAAGGTACTCTGTTATCTGTGGTGAGCAGGTTGGTGTCAAAGGAAATCCCCAAGGCTTCAACCAGGGTCTGGATTGTGATGTGATCGTAGCTGAGGTATGTGCTTCCCAGGCGTCCAAAGCTTCCACATTTCTGTTGGTATCAGTTATTCATGTTGGGTGTATTCTCATCCCAGATTTTTCTCATTTAGATCATAAACATAATAGAAGGGGCTAGAATTGCAATCTTGTGTAACTTAAAAAGCAGCTACTTTTTATTTCCTAGGTTCGTTCCACCAGTCATAAACCCGATGAAATCTATGGCATGATTGAAAGACTATCTCCCGGCACTCGCAAGATTGAGTTATTTGGACGACCACACAATGTGCAACCCAACTGGTAAGGTGACCAGAGAACAGGCTAGTCCTCAAGGGGCTATTACTTATGATTAAGGACATAACTTAGTAGAGCTTCACACTGTATTCCACTAGTCCATAAATGAGCTTGAGAGGATTCATAAGCCACTTAAGCTTGTATTTAAACTGTTTTATGAGATTCTACAAATATTCATTAGAAACTCAACAGGTTCTAGGACCCAAAGCACTGCTCCCTAGGGTTTCTGTTCTCTTCACAACCTAAGGATCTTCCTCAGCCATTCTGTGATGTATTGAATCTGCCCCCTGGTGGTTATCAAGTTATCTATTTAATCTGTCAATAATTACATCTTTCACCCCTTTAATAGAGCTTAAAACACATGCTGCTAGCATTTTGCTTATCCAAAGAGTACTCCCTGGTAGCAGCAACTCTGTGAAGCAGGCCTGGCTAAGCCTTAGTTACTAACCCTCAGATAATACAGATCCAGTCTATTTTAACACCAGAATCTATGCCAATTCTGAACTAGTCATTCTGCCATATACTATTCTAATGTTAAGTTCTTTTTAGAAGAATTGGCATATTTAATATGATGATAGGCAGTCTTCATTTGGTATGCATTTTTTAACACTATTAAACCCTCTAATTCCAGGATTTCTGGTTTGCTCCTCCTTTTCCTGTTTCAGGATCACCCTTGGAAACCAACTGGATGGGATCCACCTGCTAGACCCAGATGTGGTTGCACGGTTCAAGCAAAGGTACCCAGATGGTATCATCTCTAAACCTAAGAATTTATAGAAGTACTTCCTTACAGAGCTAAGAATCCATAGCCATGGCTCTATAAACTAAACCTGAAGAGTGATATTTGTACAATAGCTTTCTTCTTTATTTAAATAAACATTTGTATTGTAGTTGGGATTCTGAAGTCCATTCTGGCTCTGCCACTTAACAGGGTGTAATCTTGTGCAACTCATCTCTCAGTATTTCTTATATGTGAAATGGGAGTATTACCTCATTGGGTTGCTGTGAGGGTTCATACTAAATGAGTGCATGGGAAACATTAAAATGATCATTATAGGCTAGGCACGGTAGCTCACACCTGTAATCCCAGCACTTTGGGAAGCCAAGGTAGGAGGGTAACTGTAGCCCAGGAGTTCAAGACTAGCCTGGGCAAAATAGTGAGACCCCATCTCTACCCCCACCCTCCAAAATCATTAAAAAAACAGGAATGCAGGCTGGTTGCAGAGGCCCACACCTGTAATCCCAGCACTTTGGGAGGTCGAGGTGGGCGGACCACAAAGTCAGGAGTTCAAGACCAGCCTGGCCAACATGGTGAAACCCTGTCTCTACTAAAAATACAAAAAATCAGCTGGGCGTAGTGGCAGGCGCCTGTAATCCCAGCTACTCGGGAGGCTGATGCAGGAGAATTGCTTGAACCTGGGAGGCAGAGGTTCAGTGAGCTGAGATCGTACCACTGCACTCCAGCCCGGGTGACAGAGTGAGGCTGTCTCAAAAAACAAAACAAAACAAAACAAAAAAACCCCCACAGAAAACAGGAATGCATAGGATAAAACTATGTACATGGTTGGTTGAGGAGGAGGTTCTCTAGGAGAGCGTTTCCTGTTTTACAGACAGTAAAAATTTGAGTTTTATTTAAGGTTATCACTACTTGGACTATCGTGCTGTAAACAACTGCTTATGCTGTTACAACTAGGTGGCTTTTCTAATCTGTTTTTCTTTAGATTATGTCCAAGAAATAATGATAGATCTATGATCTTTTGAAGATATTGCATCAAACACAAGTGAATAGAACTTTAGACTTTGGTAAAACCTCTTACTAACGATGTAGTTTTGCCTCTTAGATTCATGAATTGTGATAACTCAGATAAGGATGGTAACGCAGAAATAATATATATATAAAGAGAAATAAACTCCTCGGTGATGTCATTTTCCATGTGGCCCAGTGTGCCTGTGTTGAAAAGTTTTGTTCTCAAAGCAGTGTATTGATGTGATAATGGGGAATAACATTTTTTTTTAAGAGGGAACCTTTAATATAATCTTTTAGCCCTTTTAAAATGGATACAGTGGCGTTTTCTCCTAGGCTCAAAGCTGAGTACACTCCTGTAATTTTAATAATATTTTAGGCAAGTCCTATGACAATTATACCAACAAGTTTCTTCAACCCCACCACCACCCCTACCATACCTATGCTTTGCTTGCCCATACTTCCTTCACCCTTTCCTCTGCTATTACCACTGGTATTTCTGCTTGTGGTTGAAAATAAAAAGCATCTCCAGATTGCAGCAAATTCAGTGGCCCTGCTCCACAGCCTGGCCTCTGCTGAAGGAAGAAAAGGGGTGAAACATGAACGACCATCATGGGTTGTGATCAGGCACTACCAGAAGCCCAGCTTGTGTTTCAATAACAGGCTCTTGAACATGTTCCCAGAAGATAACTCTTCACTGGCTTGGAGAACAGGAAGGACTATTTCACAAACACCACTGTGTTTGAATTTCTAGAGGCTACCCAGGCCAAGAATACATCCCTAAGAGAGAAAAAGACACACAAACAGAATTATACACAAACTGAAACAGAATTACAGCCTACTTTTTTTTTTTTTTTTTGAGATGGACCTCCCGGGTTCATGCCATTCTCCTGCCTCAGCCTCCCGAGCAGCTGGGACTACAGGCGCCTGCCACCACGTCCGGCTAATTTTTTGTATTTTTAGTAGAGACGGGGTTTCACCGTGTTAGCCAGGATGGTCTCGATCTCCTGACCTTGTGATCCACCCGCCTCGACCTCTGAAAGTGCTGGGATTACAGGCGTGAGCCACCACACCCAGTTGCTACATTCTTTTTATCTGTCTTTTTTTATTTTTATTTTTATTTTGAGACGGAGTCTCGCTGTTGCCCAGGCTAGAGTGCAGTGGCATTATCTCCTTGGCTCACTGCAACCTCCGTCTCCCAGGGTCAAGAGATTCTCCTGCCTCAGCCTCCTGAGTAGCTGGGACTATAGGCGCCCGCCACCATGCCCAGCTAATTTTTGTATTTGTAGTAGAGATGGGGTTTCACCACATTGGCCCAGCTGGATTTTTTTTAATCAGTCTTAAGCAAATAGGTTCCCAGATAATTTCCTGCAGCATTATGGTTAGATAGTATCACCTTAGAAATATAAGAACAGTGGGCTTAAAAGTCAGAAGTAGAGGCAATGCTAATTTACTGTAGAGTTTTTGAAATAGGAAATAGAAATGCCTTGTCCTACAACTATAGGTAATTCCCAGAGAAATTTGGGGAGAGGGGTAAAATCTTCCAAATTTCTCCCCATTTCCCTCACAAATTGCAAATTATCATATGCTACTTTCCACTTACCCTTTCTCCCCAAATTCTAATTCCCTAAGTAGTCTGATTTGCACTAAGGATTGAAAAGCTAGTATTTGCAAACACTAACAGCCTAATGTATTATCACATTTTTAAAGAGCATAGAGAGGTATGTGGTAACTGAAAAATGTGAACTGCTGATTACGTCATCTTTGGCTATGTGGCAAATGTAAGCTCTTAAGCAGGGGCGCTTTTCTAGTACACCAGATAGACATACAGCAACCTACTCTACCTAAAGTAAGGTGACACTGAGATGCTGATTTTATGCTCAAGATTACCATGTTTCCCAACAGAATTAATTGACCAGTATCTGAATTATAAAAGGGGGAACTGTAAGCTCACCTGCAATGCTTCACCACACACTCATTGCTGCAGTATTCATTGTCCCAGTCCTTACTCACAATGGGAGGGTTCTCACAACCGGACCTCACACATCGAGGCTGGGGTGAGAGTGCCACAGGAGACCCACTCACCAATTCAACATCCATCTGAGAAGGAGACTCAACCTGTGAGAGGAAGAGAGTACCAAAGTGGATTAAATTGCTCCCTGCCTAGCTAGCTAGTTGAAACCAATGAAACAAAAGGTATTACAATTCCTCACACTGGGGGTAAAACTGGAGAAGGTGAGTTCTTGGTCTCCCCCTCAACAGTCTAGCTTCAGAACTTTGCCAAGCAGAATGACGGAAGATTTTTCCCATCAGGAGAAAGGTGGGCATGTGGTAATGCTTTTTTTCCCCCTTAAGCCTGGCTAGTCAAGTATAGTAGTGGGAATAAAGAGGTAGTCCTTTTTTTTGTTTGTTTGTTTTTTTGAGACGGAGTCCTGCTCTGTCTCCCAGGCTGGAGTGCAGTGGCGCGATCTCGGCTCACTGCAAGCTCCGCCTCCCCAGCTCATGCCATTCTCCTGCCTCAGCCTCCTGAGTAGCTGGGATTACAGGCACCTGCCACGACGCCCGGCTAATTTTTTGTATTGTTAGTAGAGATAGGGTTTCACCACGTTGGCCAGGCTGGTCGCGAACTCCTGACCTCAGGTGATCCACCTGCCTTGGCCTCCCAAAGTGCTGGGATTACAGACGTGAGCCACCACGCCCGGCCATATTTATGTGTTTTAAAAAATAATGGTATGAACCAATTAAATTTTTCTGGCTATACCCTCTGCCCCACACACATTTAAAACATCAAGCTAAGGAACTTAAGACCCAGGATAAACGAAAAGCTTTATATGTCCAAAGTTTAAGATCCTTGGGTAAACAACTCTGAAAAATAACTGTTTAGGCTGTATCCTGTCCAGCTGAACTAGTGGCCGCTGCTTAGTTAAGGAGTGGTCCTTATCTTAATGTATCTCACTAAAAACACTATGGGGTACGCGGTGGCTCAACGCCTGTAATCCCTGCACTCTGGGAGGCCGAGGCGGGCGAATCACGAGGTCAGGAGTTCAAGACCAGCCCAATCAACATGGTGAAACTCCGTCTCTAGTTAAAAATACAAAAAATTAGCTGGGTGTAGTGGCGATTACCTGTAATCCCAGCTACTTGGGAGGCTGAGGCAGGAGAATCACTTGAACCCAGGAGGTGGAGGTTGCAGTAAGCCGAGAGTACACCACTGCACTCCAGCCCAGGCAACAGAGCGAGACTCCGTCTCAAAAAAAAACAGGGTGGGCGCAGTGACTCACACCTGTAATCCCAGCACTTTGGGAGGCTGAGACAGGCAGATCACCTGAGGTCAGGAGTTCAAATCCAGCCTGACCAACATGGAGAAACCGTCTCTACTAAAAATACAAAATTAGCCAGGCATGATGGCACATGCCTGTAATCCCAGCTACTCAGGAGGCTGAGGCAGGAGAATCACTTGAACCCAGGAGGTAGAGGTTGTGGTGAGCCGAGATCGCACCATTGCACTCCAGCCTGGGCATGGACATCTCAAAAAAAAAAAAAGAAAAACCACCAATATGGGTACCTTGGGTAAGACAAGTCATTGTTGCAAGGAAATCCCATCTGCAGGATATTTTGTGTTCCTGGTTGCTGGGCATTAAATGCTAGTAGCAACCCCCACTTTTATTTGGTCAACCAAAAATGTTTTTATACATTTCCACTAGACTAGAGGAAAGACTTAAAATCAAAGGCTCACCTCAGGAACTACATCTGTGATCATCTCACAGATAGTCTCAGGAGAAGTTGCCTCCACTGTATGGGCCTCAGGGCTGTTGTTCATAGGCCGCTCAGGACTACTTTCCACAGTTGGTGGGACTAAGGTAGTCTGCATTTTCAAAGTGGGTAGAGGCACACTCTTGATCTGCAGAGGGGGTGGCTGTTGCTGTAAATTGATTCGAACTTTCTGAGGTGGAGGCTGTTGCATGGCCTGGAGTGGAGGCGGCTGCTGCAGAATGGTAACTTGCTGCTGAGTTGGGGGTTGTGGCATCTGTTGTAATGGAGGGGGCTGTAGTCGGGGTGGAGGCAGTTGCATAGAAGCAGCAGCAGCAGCAGCTGCTGCTGCCTGCAACACTGACCGAGTGACAATCTGGGCTTGTTGACTGGGCTGGATAGTGGCTGTACTGGTTTGGCCTAGCTGAAGCCCCCGGGAGGTCACCACTGTGGCTGGGATAACAGTAACCATCCCTCCTTGAGACATAGTAATGGACGAGGGCAACATTTGTTTGGTAATAATCAACTTGGTGATATTGGGCTGACCCCCAGCTCCAGAAGATGCCTGGTTTGCCACATAGGATGAAAGGGTGGAGTTAACAACAATGGATGGGGACAGGGCAGGGGGCTCTATTGAAGCTGGTGCTGGAGATGCTGGGTCAACAGTAGCCATAGGAGGTGGAGAAGGAGTTTGTGATGGTGGTGCTGGATCCAATTCCACTGTTTCTACAGTGGCCTAAAAGAAGACAAAAATAAATTATTACATAAATAAATAAATAAATAAATAAATCACTTGGTTGTATTTACTTCTTAAAACTGCTAACAAATACTTCCAAAAAACTTCTTACTGGTTTAAATATCCATCTACCCTATCCCTCTTACCTGACACTCCTGGTTGTCTTTGTAAGCAGCCAGTGCCTTCAGATACTCTTTCTTGGCAGCCTCAGTTTTCCTCTTATATACCTGCAAAAAAGGAGACCTTTAACAAAAAAAGACCCCTTTTTTTTTTTTTTCCCCCCCCCATATTTGTTTCCTAGGAGACTGGATAGTTCTGGATATATATTTAATCAATGAATGACAAGTTCACTTGAGTCTGAATCACTGAGCAACACCCTATCAGTGAATACCAATCTACTGGAAAGCTAACAGTTCGAGACAAGTCCCTATGGCAGCCACTCCACTCCAACTGGAGCATATCCTCTGAGAAGACAACGAATCCAACAGGAGTTGGAAGATGTGCTACTATTTATTGTATTTTTTTTTTGAGCCAGGAGTCTTGCTCTGGTTTGGCCCAGGGCTGGCAGAGTGCAGCAGTGGCACAGATCTTGGCTTGCCTTGCAAGCTCTGCCTCCCAGGCCACCGTCACCTGGCCTTTTTTTTGAATTTTCTTCTTTTTTTTGGATTTAGACTCCTGGGTTTCAAGCGATTCTCCTGTCTTAGCCTCCCAAGTAGCTGGGATTACAGGTGTGCACCACCATGCCTGGCTTGTGTTTGGATTTTAGTAGGAGACAGGTTTCACCTGATGGCCAGGTTTGGTACTTGCTCTGAAACTCCTGACCTCAAGTGATCTGCCCTCCTGCGGCTCCCAAAGGGCCTGGATTCACAGTGTGGAGCCACTGGCCTGGCCCTCTTTCGTCACATTAAAAAAAAATTTTTTTTGTTGAATGAGGTTTCATCCTCGTCTCTTGTCTCCCCTAGGTGGCCCAATCTCATGCCTCATGTGAACCTATACCTCCGGTTCAAGCAGTTTACCTCAGACTCCTGATAACTGACACAGCAGCCACCAGCACGCCTGGTAAGCTATTTGGTTATTTTTAGTAGGAGATGGTGGTATTTACCATGTTGGCCAAGGCTGGCTCGGGAAACTCCTTACCTCAAGTGATCCGCTCCTCGGGTCTCCCAAAGTGCGTTGGGATTACAGCGGCGTGGAGCCACCCATGCCAGGATCTATTCTAATTCTTATAGTAAAATATATTACCTTGTGTGGGTTTAGAGGGTAAAAAGCTAAATACTACCACCAAAACAGCACAACATCAAAGCCAAGAACAAACTAGAGGGTTTACATCATCTATCCTTGTTGATTAGCCCTTAGCCTTTCGCACTGGTCGTCCACTAAGCAGAAGGTGTGCAATTTTAAGATGAAAGGGCTTGGCCCTACCAAGCTTCTCAACATTATTTAGATATTTTGGGGGCTGGGGCGCGGTGGCTGAAGCCAGTTAACCCAGCACTTTTGGGAGGGCCGAGACGGCGGCATCATGAGGTCACGAGGATCGAGACACCCTGGCAACACGGTGAAACCTTATCTCTGCTAAAAATACAAAAAACAAAATGTAGCGCCGGTGTGGTGGTGGGCACTTGTAGTCCCAGCTACTTGGGAGGCTTAAGGCAGAAGAGCGGCGTGAACCAGGAGGAGAGTCTCTGCTCTCCTCTCCAGGCTGGAGTGCAGTGGCCAAGACTCATGCTCAACTGGCAGCTCCGCCTCCGGGTTTAAGCGCATGCTCCTGCCTCAGTGCCTCCCAAGTAAGCTGGGACCACAGGCGCCCGCCACCTTGCCCGGCTAGTTTTTTTTGTTGATATTTTAGTAGGGAGACGGGGTTTCACCGTGTTAGCCAGGATGGTCTCGATCTCCTGACCTCATGATCCGCCCGTCTCGGCCTCCCAAAGTGCTGGGATTACAGGCTTGAGCCACCTCGCCCAGCCAAAAACCTCTATTTTTATCTCTTTAAAAACTTTTGGAACATTCACTACTAGTTCCTCAACATTTGCTCACCTGTTTTTGCTCCTCTCCAAGACTATCCCACATGGAGGCCACAATTTTTGAAACCTCACCAAAAGTGGCATTAGGATTCTGTCCCTTGATGGCAGCCTGTGTATCACGAAAGAATAAAGCATATGCTGAAACTGGTTTCTGAGGTTCATTAGGATCTTTCTTTTTTCTCTTCTTTGGGGCCTTCTGCTTTTTCCCTGCTTCCACCACCACTGTCTTCTGGCTGGGAAGTTGCTGTAAGAGAGAAAAAGAATTACACAATGGATGATGACAAGTATTATGTCTGGAAACTAGCCACATGTATGGAATTTTCAGAAATGCTAAAAATCATGGAAATAGCATTAAAAGACACTGGTCAAGTATGGAGAACCAATAAGAATAGGGATTGAGAGAATTATAAACTGGAAATTGGTAGATGGAACCCCATACCCAGAAAAGAGCAGAGGAGATGGCATGGCAAGGCTAAAGAATACTGATTAAGCTCTGTATCCCAATAATTTTATCCTAGAATATCACAGCAGAATTGATTTTGGCAGGGAATGCCTCACCCTCCGGAAATCCTCAACACCATCCTCATGAAGTGAACTAGTAGGTGAAGGCGTGGTTGAAAGACGATCTTCAGGTGACTGGGCAGGTGGTAGGATGGTGCCACCCCCTAAGCTCAAACCCAGTTGGGAACTCAGTTCTGACTGATCAATGGTGGTCAACTGGCTATGCCCCATCAAGCCAGATGTCATGTCTGTCATTGGTACATCAATTGTAACAGGTGGGTTGGCACTATACTGAGTTCCTATAGAGTGGTCCAAGTCCTGAGAGAAGCAGAAGGACTAATTAAACAGTAAATATAAAAAAACACCACTTTCCCCCCCTAAATGTAAGATAGCTTATAAATTCCCTGCCTACCCAGATTGTATCATTTAAAATACAAAACATAAAATATATTGTCTTCAAAACTGAAAATAAAAACATAAACTTTTTAAAAAAGTACAGAAATTAATGAATTTACTTCTTTGCACTCAAAAGAAGAACTAAAAATAATCAGAGAAGTCATACTGTTGGAGAAGTTAAAGAGCTATCAACTTATTCAGTAATCTATAAGTAGGGACAACACATTAAGAAAAACTTCCTGTCTGTACCCTCCCAAAATAATAGCTTTTAAAATAATACACAGGCAGTCAGCATAAATAGGCCAATATTACAGAAGTTTAGCATCAAATATAGAGTGTGAAGATGTGCTACTGGTTTGATGTGCCAGAAGCCCAACATACTGATTTATATTACATAGTAATCTACAATACTATATTTGACTCAGACCTTTTTTTTTAAAAAAAGCTCTGATCTGCTGGCTTCTCAACATGATTCAGACCATTTTTTAATAAATCCCTCCACGTGCCAGCTATCACATTCAAATTTGAATCCTAGGATGTGAAGGTCATAATAAAAGCAGAAAACACTTTCCCAAAAACCACAATAATTTTCTAACCAGACATTGTACAATTTTAAATTATTTTTCAAGTAAAATCTACCTACATGGTAAATTTCATTTATTCAGGTGAAACTAAGTCTTTGTTGGTGAGCCTTTAGCCACAAGAAGACACACAAGTAATACCCAAGTGTAGTAGGGAATAGAGTAACTTTTGTCTCCCCTAATGCCATGCCTGTTAGCTGGGGTAAGCCTGACAATGTCTTGCCCCTTACCATGGTCAAGCCCCCACTCAGGAGCCCCCCGCCCTGCTCCATCAAGCCATGGGTCATGCCCACAGGCATGTCCAATGTCTGGACCCCATACTGGGCTGAAAAACTGCCATCCTGTGAAGAAGAAGGGTCTGCCAGGTCATCAAAGTGGCCAACCACATCTGAGACAGCCAATGAGGGATCAGAATCCAAGGAGATAGGTGGGATTTCAAATTCCTCATCTCCCAAGCTTGGTGTATGGAATGTCTGTAGGGAAAAAAGGAGGAAAAGAATTAGCGAAAAGAGGAGAAATGGCATACTACTAAGTGAAGAACATAATGGGGTACTACAGATTCTCAGGGTACATTTTTTCTGCTTAGGATCCTATTTTATAATCAATTTCTTAGAACCTATTATTTTTACCAATCTCTCTTCTGATACCCTTGGTCACTTGGTGCATTCAAGGCTGCTAACATCAGTCACAATTTTCAATTCTTTTATCTCTTTTCTACCATTACCACTCTTTTGTCCTAAATTATGCCTATTGTTCTAATGAAAAATTCTTCCAGTACCATTACTTAGGATACAGCCTTTATAACCTGCTTACTATGATCCTTGAAATCTCTCTAAAGATTCTAATAGAGCAGTTATTTCACAATTATTACAACTAAACTGTTAGGCCACAGAAATTTGCTGTCAGCCAGCCAATTGTACTTTGTTGTTTTAGGTTCCTTTCAAACAGATGCTAAAATGTACTGTCATGGAAACTTTATCCCCCTCTAAAATATTTGCACTTAGAGTTTCCTACTTCTTCTCCACTTTAGAAATTATAATGTTAACAACTAAAGATTCCCATTTGTTTTTTTTGGTTTTTTTTGAGACAGAGTCTCGCTCTGTCGCCCAGGCTGGAATGCAGTGGCGCGATCTCCACTCACTGAAAGCTCCGCCTCCCGGGTTCAGGCCATTCTCCAGCCTCAGCTTCCCATGTAGCTGGGACTACAGGCGCCCACCACCACGCCCGGCTAATTTTTTTGTATTTTTAGTAGAGACGGAGTTTCACCGTGTTAGCCAGGATGGTCTCGATCTCCTGACCTTGTGATCCACCCACCCTGGCCTCCCAAAGTGCTGGGATTACAGGCGTGAGCCACTGCGCCCGACCAAGATTCCCATTTGTATACGATTTTCAGAAAACCTCAACAATGCCAAAAATGCTAGTCTTGCTGAACAAGCTTCTCTCTAAGAGAGGAAAAGGATTACTCCAGCTGGCTAAAGACCCAATCTCTTCCTGTGAGTCCAACTAGGTCAATAATAATACATTCTTTCTCTTCTGAATGAGGCCACCACTCATGCAGCTAACAGACCAAGATATGATCTAAGATATGTTAAGTGCTATGGTTCTGTTTTGACACTAAAATCTAAATGGTGGCATTTGCAACAATAGACAATTATAAATAATAGCAAGAGACTGCTATCAGAGAGACCTGGGTACAAGACCTTGAACAAGTTTTCTTCATCTGTAAAATGGGAATTACAATGGTAATCCCCTTATATGGTTATTATGAGGATAAGTGAGATTTCATGCATAAAAGCTTAGCACACTGCCTGATACATATAATGGCTTAATAACCATCATTAACCATTGTTATGAATAATATCCTAATAATGATTCCTTTGCCCCCTACCCCAAGCAATTATCACAGATAATTGGAATTTTAGAAACTTTAAATTCTATCAATCTAACACATAGCATAGTAAATATAAACTGATTCAGATCAAATTCAATTGGTACCCACTTTTTTTTTTTTGTAATTGAACAATGCATTCTTTAAGTAAGAGTTCCTAAAGGTTTCTTTTTTTTTTTTTTTTTGAGATGGGGTATTGCTCTGTCACCAAAGCTGGTCTGTAATTCCTGGGCTCAAGCAAGCTTCCAGCCCCAGCCTCCCAAGTAGTTGGGACTACAGGCATGTGCTGCCACACCCAGCTAATTTTTAAAATTTTTTGTAGAGACAAGCTCTCCCTGTGTTGCCCAGGCTAGTCTCGAACTCCTGGGCTCAACTGATCCTACTGCCTCAGTCTCCAAAGTGTTGGGCTTATAGACCTCAAGGTTCCTCTAGATCCTGAAAGGTTCTTCTATTATGACCATTTCTGGTTTTTTTTTTTTTTGAGATGGAGTCTTGCTCTGTAGCCCAGGCTGGAGTGCAGTGGCGTGATCTTGGCTCACTACAACCTCTGCCTCCAGGGTTCAAGCAATTCTCCTGCCTCAGCCTCCCAAGTAGCTAGGACTACTACAGGTGTGTGCCACCATGCCCAGCTAATTTCTGTATTTTTTAATAGAGACAGGGTTTCACCATGTTGGCCAGGATGGTCTTGATCTCTTGACTTTGTGATCCGCCCACCTCGGTCTCCCAAAGTGCTGGGATTACAGGCACCGGCCACTGCACTTGGCAGTTTTATTTTTTTTCTTTTTTGAGATAGAGTCTCCTTTGTCACCCATGATAAAGTGCAGTGGTGCAATCTTGCTCACTGCAATCTCTGCCTCCCGGGTTCAAGTGATTCTCCCACCTCAGCCTCCCAAGTAACTGATACTATAGGTGCATACCACCATGCCAGGCTAATTTTTTTTTTTTGAAACAGAGTTTCACTCTTTTTGCCCAGGCTGGAGTGCAATGGCATGAACTCTGCTCACCACAACCTCCGCCTCCCAGGTTCAAGCAATTCTCCTGCCTCAGCCTCCCTAGTAGCTGGGATTACAGGCATGTGTCACCATGCCTGGCTAATTGTGTATTTTTAGTAGAGACGGGGTTTCTTCATGTTGGTCAGGCTGGTCTTGAACTCCTGACCTCAGGTGATCCGCCCTCCTCGGCCTCCCAAAGTGCTGAGATTACAGGCATGAGCCACCCCGCCTGGCCACGACGCCAGGTTAGTTTTTGTATTTTTTTGTAGAGATTGGGTCTGGCCATATTGCCCAGACTGGTCTTGAACTCCTGGACTCAAGCCATCACCCTGCCTTGGCCTCCCAAACTGTTGGGATTACAAGCATGAGCCACAGCGCCCAGCCGCCAATTCTGGTTTAATGAAGACATTAGGCTGGGAGCGGTGGTTCACACCTGTAATCCCAGCACTTTGGGAGGCCCAGGTGGGTGGATCACACGAAGCCAGGAGTTCGAGACCAGCCTGGCCAACACAGTGAAACCCATCTCTACTACTAAAAGAACAAAAATTAGTCAGGCATGGTGGCACACACCTGTAATCCCAGGTACTCGAGAGGCTGAGGCACGAGGATCGCTCGAACTCAGGAGTTGGAGGTTGCAGTGAGCCAAGACTGCATCACTGCACTCCAGCCTTGGCGACAGACCAAGACCATGTCTAAAAGGAAAAAAAAAAAAAAAAAAGAAAAGAAAGAAAGAAGAAGAAACAGGAGTGAAAAAAAAAACGGCAATGCAGTGGCTCACGCCTAGTAATCTCAGCACTTGTTGGTTGAGGCCGAGGCGGGTGGACATTGAGGGTCCAGAGTTCGAGACAGCTGGCACGTGCGTGAATCAATCTTTACTAAAATAACAAAAATTAGCCTGGCTGAGCGGGTTTGGTTTTGTTTTGATTGGTGTGTGTGTGTTTCCCTGGGGTGTTTTACCAGCTACGCAGAGGCTGAGGAGGAGAATACTTGAAATCCAGGAGCGGGTTGCAGTGAGCCGAGATCTGCCACTGCACCCAGTCTGAGGTGGACAGAGGGAGGACTCCGTCTCAAAAAAAAAAGACATTGCTAGAAAGAAAATTTCCAGCTAGCAGAAACTAGGGAGAAAAAAGTATGCCTATGAAATGCCCAATTTCTGTGAATCACATTTGTAAAAATTTCCTAAAAGACAAAAAGATATACATAGTTTCATTTCTGTATTTTCCTTCTCCTTACTATTTTACTTGGTATGGTAAAAAATTTGGTCCTTGTCTGAGATATAAGCAGCATGCGGAGCATAAGAACATGCAGTTCTCAACTGGGAGTGGTGGCTCACGCCTGTAATCCCAGTACCTTGGGAAGCCAAGGAGGGTGGATCACTTGAAGTCGGGAGTTCGGGACCAGCCTGGCCAACATGGAAAACCCCATCTCTACTAAAAATACAAAAATTAGCTGGGTGTGGTGGTGCACACCTATAATCCCAGCTACCTGGGTGGCTGAAGCACGAGAATCGCTTGAACCCAGGAGTTGGAGGCTGCAGTGAGCCAAGATCACACCACTGCACTCCAGCCTGGATGACAGAGCAAGACTGTCTCTCACACACACACAGACACACACACACACACACACACACAACAAAAAATATCAGGCAGTTCTTGATGGGAAAAACTAAACTTTCCCTAAGAACTGAACTTTTCTCAGTAGTATACAAAACATGTATTTATGTATGTTGTTTTGTTTTTTTTTAATTTTGAGACAGGGTCTTACCCTGTCGCCCAGGCTAAGTGCATGGCTCCATCATCACTCACTGCAGCCTTGAACTCTTGGGCTCAAGTGATCTTCCCACCTTGGCCACCCAAAGTTCTAGGATTACAAGTGTGAGCCACTGTGTCTGGCCCATAATTTTTGTTATTGTGTGGAAGTTCTTAACTTCCAATCCATGACTCTTTCTGATATTTCAGTTTAGGTTTACATAAGCAGTTTTAAGGTAGAAGGTACAAAGATTTTTACCAAATTCTCATACCAAAAAAAAAAAAAAAAGTTATAGGAACATGGATCAAGGGAAACATTTACTGTACTAGACTAATAGTAAAATGGTAGTTTCCAAAATTTTTAAGATACAGATTGCTTTGTTAAAGCAAAGATGCCTACCCTTTTCTGCTTACCACAACAAAACAGCAACTTTGTCAGGATATAAAAAATGATACTATCCGTTAATGAGAACCCCAAAAGGATAAAAATTCATATCCAAAACAAGGGACCAGTGTTCCACAAGTGACTACCCCTCATAAACCATCTGGAATGTTCTCATTGTACACTAAAAAATTAGACATGGCTACATAAAATGAACTGGGCAATGATAAAAAAATATATATATAGATATGGAGAGACTCATTTATGTAGGATAGACAAGGCATTCTTTCTATACGCCACCCCTTGGGATGTGGAAAAGCTTTGTTATTCAGTACCTATGGCTTTCATGGTGGTTTTCTGGGTTCTGTTTTATTTCTTCCTTTAAGTATGAATAGTAAGGTAACTGCAATTATCAAGAATACAGAGGGTTAAAAAAAAAAAAAAGGATACAGAAGGGTAAACC